TCCATCCATCCATCCATCCATCCATCCATCCATCCATCCATCCATCCATCCATCCATCCGTTTATTGCTCACTGCGGATTTTCTTGAGAATCTCCACTGTAGCTCTTTACTAAGTGTTCTTACTGGGGCAGATACCAAGATGCCAAGCTAGTGCAGTCTCCCAGGGCGACCGAACTGTTGCGAGCTGTTTCCACTAGGTGGCAGCCAAGGCTCAAGCTGGAGGGCCCGGGTACCAAAAAGCTTCTCTAAAGCAGGTCTCCCTAGCAACCTTTGAGCCTTTCTCCTGGGAAGTCTAAGGCATTTAGACTTGGGTTTGTCCCTCTTAGTACAAACCCTAAACGCACAGAACGTTTTCGTATTTGCAATAAGAAAGGCGAGAATCGCAAGCAGGTTATTTTTTGACTGGAAAATGAAATGGAGGTTTTATTCAGGAGACTTTGGCACAATCTTAGCAAAAGACTTACCAGAGAAGTTTCTGGGCATGAGGAATTGAAGTTGAGACACAAAATACTACTCGGAGAAATAATTTATTCCTTTTTCATGGTTTTTCGAGATAGGGCTTCTCTGTGCAGCAGTCCATGCTGTCCTGGGATTTCCTGTAGATCAGGCTGCCTCAAGGTCACAAAATCAGGAAGAGTAGAAGACAGGAAATAATCAAACTGAGTGCTGAAATCAATAAAATAGAAACAAAGAAAACAACACAAAGAATCAATGAGACACAGTGCTGCTTCTTTGAGAAAATCAACAAGATACACAAACCCTTATCCAAACTAATCAAAAGGCAGAGAGAGAACATATTAATTAATAAAATCAGAAAAGAAAAGGCAGACATAACAATAAACACTGAGGAAATCCAGAGAATCATTAGGTCATACTACAAAAACCTGTACTCCATAAAATTGGGAAATGTAAAAGAAATGGACAATTTTCTGGAGAGATATCATATACCAAAATTAAATCAAGACCAGATGAACAATTTAAATAGACCTAAAAACTGTGAGGAAATAGAAGCTATCATTAAAAGCCTCCAACCACAAAAAGCCCAGAGCTGGATGGTCTTAGTACAGAATTCTACCAGAACTTCAAAGAAGAGCTAATACCTATACTCCTCAAAGTGTTCCACATAATAGAAAGAGAAGAAACATTACCAAACTCTTTTTATGAGGCTACAATTACCTTGATACCAAAACCACATAAAGACTCAACCAAGAAAGAGAATTACAGATCAATTTCATTCATGACCACTGATGCAAAAATATTCAATAAAATACTAGCAAACAGAGTCCAAGAACACATAAAAAAAAAAAAACTTTAACCCTGATCAAGTCGGCTTCATCCCAGAGATGCAGGGATGGTTCAACATACAAAAATCTATCAATGTAATCCATCATATAAATAAACTTAAAGAAAAAAAACATATGATTATCTCATTAGATGCTGAAAAAGACATTTAACAAAACTTAACACCCGTTCATGATAAAGGTCTTGGAGAAATCAGAGATACAAGGAACATGTCTAAACATAGTAAAAGCAATACACAGCAAGTCAACAGCCAATATCAAATTAAATGGAGAGAAACCCAAAGCGATTCCATGAAAATCAGGAAAAAGACAAGGTTGTCCACGCTCTTTATATCTCCAACATAGTTCTTGAAGTTCTGTTTAGAGCAATAAAACATCAAAAGAAGATCAAGGAGATACAAATTGGAAAGCAATAAGTCAAACTTTCACTATTTGCAGAAAATATGATAGTATACATAAGTGACCCCAAAAAAACTCTAGCAATAAACTCCTACAGCTGACATACCTTCAGTGACATGACAGGATACAAGATCAACTCAAAAAATAAAAATCAGTAGCCCTCCTATATACAAACAATAAAGGGGCTGAGAAATCAGAGAAATATCACCTTTCACAATAGCTACAAATAGCATAAAATATCTTGAGGTAACACTAACCAAAGATGTGAAATACCTATTCAACAAGAACTTTAAATCTTTGAAGAAAGAAATTGAAGATGATACCAGAAAATGGAAAGATCTCCCATGTTCTTGGGCAGGAAGAACCAAAATAATAAAAAATGACAATCCTACCAAAAGCAATTTATAGATTCAATGCAATCCCCATCAAAACCCTAACACAATTCTTCACAGTCCTTGAAAGAACAATAATCAACTTCATATGGGAAAACAAAAACCTAACATACCAAAACAATCTTGTACAAAAAGGAACTTCCGGAGGCATCACTGGTGTGGGAGGTCCTTCTGTTTATGTGTTGCTTTCATTGGTTGAATGCCTTGGCCTTTTGATAGGGCAGAACTTAGGTAGGCGAAGTAGACAGAACTGAATGCTGGGAAGAGGGACAGAAGGAGAGCCACCATGGATCTGCCAGAGACAGACATGCTGAATCTTTCCCAGTAGGCCACTGCCACGTGGTAATATAACAGAAATGGGTTAAATCGAGATGTGAGAGTTAGCCTATAAGAGGCTAGAGATAATGGGCCAGGCAGTGATTTAATTAATACAATTTCTGTGTGATTATTTTGGGCGTCAAACTAGCAGGGCAGCCAGAACAAGGGGCCCTACTCTCTACAATACATCACCATCCCTGACATCAAGCTCTATTACAGAATTACAATACTGAAAACAGCCTGGTAGTGGCATAAAAACAGAGAGGTTAAGCAATGGAATCATCCACATGCACAAAACTCAAACCCAGATGGATTAAAGACCTCAAAATAAATCTGACTACACTAAACCTGATAGAAGAGAAAGTGGGAAGTAGCCTTCAATGCATAGGCACAGGAGACCTCTTCCTAACTATAACCCCAGTAGCATAGACACTGAGAGCAACAATAAATAAATGGGACCTCCTGACACTGAAAAGCTTCTGTAAAGGAAAGGACACAGTCAATAAGACAAAAAAGGCAGCCTACTGAATGGAAAAGATCTTCGCCAACCCCACATCAGATAGATGAATGATCTCCAAAATATGTAAAGAACTCAAGAAATTAGACATAAAAGTTCCAAATAACCCAATTGAATATGGGGTACAGAACTAAACAGAAAATTCTCAACAGAAGAATTTCAAATGGGTGAAAGACACTGAAGGTAATGTTCAACATCCTTAGTCATCAGGGAAATGAAAATCAAAACAATTCTGAGATTCCATCTTAAACCTGTCAGAATGGCTAAGATTCAAAACACCAATGATAGCTTATACTGGAGAGGATGCAGAATAAGGGGAACACTCATACATTGCTGGTGGGAATGCAAACTTGTACAACCACTTTGGAAATCAGTATGACTGTTTCTCAGAAAATGGGGGATCAATCTACTTCAGGATCCAGCAATACCACTCTTGGATATATGCCCAAAAGCTGCTCAATCATACTACAAAAACATATGTTCAACTATGTTATTAGCAGCATTATTTGTAATAGCCAGAACCTAGAAACAACCTAGATTCCCCTCAACTGAAGAATGGATAAAGAAAATGTGGCACATTCACACATTAGAGTACTACTCAAAGGTAAAATAATAATAATAATAATAATAATTAATAAATAAATGACATCTTGAATTGCATGCAAATGGGTGGAACTAGAAACCAACATCCTGAGTGAGGTAACTCAGACCCAAAAGGATGAATATGGTATGTACTCACTTATAAGTGGATACTAGCTGTAAGCAAAGGACATTGAGTCTATAGTTCATGATCTTAGAGAAGCTAAGTAAGAAGGTGAACCCTAAGAAAAACTAAGTAACAAGGTGAACCCTAAGAAAAAACCTAAGAAAAACTTTCCACCTGTAAAGTCAAAATAGACATGATCACCTAACAAAATTGGGAACATGGGGTGAGGGGGAAAAGGGAGGGGAGAAAATAAATAAATAAATAAATGGATAAATAACCCTTCCTATACAGTCTACAGCTCAGCTTCTGAGTTTGCCAGCTACAGACCAGACACTTCTTCACCTCAGGGATCCCTGTGGCGCCAGCACTCAGCCTAAGTGGAGATTCTCGGTGCACAACACCAGGACTAGCAATGCCCGCCGGTAATCCACACTCCACGCATGTATGGGATTTGTCAGTCGGTCTGAACCGCTGTCAGCAGGCCCGAGCTGCAATCCGACTGCAATTTCTAACTGCATCCGTGATTTTCTGCTTTGGTCCTTTCGTTTTGGGCTGGAATCAGGCTCTACAAAGTGGCTCTCCCGCGGGATTCCACCCGAACCACGGTCCCGAGGACGTGAGCAAAACGTTGCAAGAAACGGCTGACGCCCGGGTTTGAGTGTGCACCAGATGCGATTAGGACGCCGCGATTTCGTTTCGTTTTCGAGTTCTCTACACTTGGCTTTTATATCAACGCTGAAAATTCACCCAATTTCTTTCAGTAGCAGATTCAAGTAACGACTGCCATCAGCAAAGATACGTTTTGGTCGGGCAAGTGTCCCAAGACATCCGACCCGAACCGAATCGAAATGGACGAATTTGTTATTTTTTTCCCACAACCTAATCCCCATCGCGCCGGCGCTCCCTTCACTGCACCAATGGTTTTCAGTGACGTCACGGGTCAGGACTCTCTGACGGCCGCCCATCTCTCTCCTTTCACCGGTCACGACGCAGCTAAGGTCCCTACGAGCGCCCCTACTGCGGGTAAGACTCCAGTCCACGCCTGCCTGATAGTTTCTCACTCTCACTGGAGCCAATGAAGAAGACCCGGGCGGAAGCAGAAACGCTTCTGACGCCAAACGCAGCTCCGCCTGCCGGCTGAATTCCCGACAACTCTACACCGCCGGCCGCCAGCCTCGCTGTGGCGCGGGCACTCAGCCTCGCCACGATTCCCGGTGCATAGAGTCAGCGCTGAGGGTTTCCCGGCCCCTGTTCCGCTGTCCGCGAGCGCCACGATTCATCCACCGAGTCGATTTTCGATCGGATGGCAGCAAGCTCGAGCTGCCGTCCGATCGCGATTTCAACCCGCGTCCCTGATTTTCCCCACAGCTTCTTTCATTTTTCACACCGAATCAGGCTCTGCCAGGCAGGCTGCCGCGGGATTCCACCCGAACCACGAACCACGGTCCCGACTACGTGAAAAACGCTGCAAGAATTGTCTGAGGCCCCAGGGCGAGTCCTCACCAGTTGCGGTCTCAGGACGCGGCGGTTTGGTTTCGTTTTCGCGTCCTCTACACTTGGCTAGCCACCGTTTATATAAACGCTGAAAATTCACCCGATCTCTTTCGGTAGCAGATTCAGTACTGACTGCCATCGGCAAAGATACGTTTTTGGCCGGGCAAGTGTCCCAAGACATCCGACCCGAACCCAATGGAAATGGACTAATTTGGTCTGTCCTTCCCCTTCCCCCGCGCAACCGAATCTCCATCGCCTGGAGGTCCTTTCACTGCACCAAAGGTTTTCAGGGACGTCACGGGTCAGGA